CCCCTCTCTCTCGCGCGCCCGCTATCTCTCTCAGTCTCCCGTTGAGAGCGGGTCGTGAGGGGGAGTAAAGTTGAAATCCATTGGTATTCGCCAGTGAGTTAACGTAAACTCCCCCGTGTGATCAAAATGCGATTCCCAGGAACCATTACACCATAAAGGCACCATAGTGTCAATAATGAATATAATAGTGCGAATTAATAAATACCCCTCATAGCATCATTCCGTCTATTCGCACTTAACCATGTTCACCCTCGAGGAAATGCTTGGGAGTTTTTTTTTTTCCGCATCTGCTAATTCTCATTATATTGTGTCTCGCAAAGATAAACGAGCGCTATAAGGTTTACACTTCTTTACCCCTTTTTTAAGTTTTAAGCATTCGACAAACAAAACAGCTACGCCCCCAACCCCGGGTTAAGTGGTCGCGTAACCATGATTGGCTGCTCACTCGAAGGTCGTGGGTTCGAGATGCGCGTTTAAGAGCCCCGAGTGGTCGAAATTTCCGGAGCCCTCCACTATACGGCGTCTCTCGTAATCATACGGTGGTTTTGGGACGTTAAACCCCACATATCAATAAATCAATCGCATTCAATATTTCACCCTTGGGGCGATGCTAAGACGTTCTTTCTTTCTTTCTTTCTTTCTTTCTTTCTTTCTTTCTTTCTTTCTTTCTTTCTTTCTTTCTTTCTTTCTTTCTTTTTTTCTTTCTTTCTTTCTTTCTTTCTTTTTTTCTTTCTTTCTTTCCTTCCCTATTTCTTTCTTTTGCTCTTTCTTTCTTTCATTCTTTCTTTTTTTCCCTTTTATATTTCTTTCTTTCTTTCTTTCTTCCAGGTGGTCAGAATTTCCGGAGCCCTCCACTACGGCGTCTCTCATAATCGTATGGTGGTTTTGGGACATTAATCCCCACAAATCAATCAATCATCAATCTATTCTTTCTTTCTTTCTTTCTTTCTTTCTTTCTTTCTTTCTTTCTTTCTTTCTTTCTTTCTTTCTTTCTTTCTTTCTTTCTTTCTTTCTTTCTTTCTTTATTTCGTGCCTTCCCGTAGAGGCAATGCGACCTGTCCGTTTGCTGTAGCTACTACGGCTTCGGGTGTACGCGGGACGCTTTCAAACTTCTGACAATACTCGCAACATACCTATCGTATCTAGGCAAACAGTAATACGAATTGAGAAACAATAAAACGCGAATCACTCATTACCAGTACGAGTGGATGTCCACGCATAGTATCAGGTACGCGCGAACGTTAAACTTCGCACTGCAATTTTAAACATCACATTTCTTTCGCACCGGGCAATGCTTTCTCCAGAGATTTCTTTTTTTCCCCATACCAGGAATCGGAACCACGGTGTGGTTGGAACATCACCCTCGTACTTAACAGCACACGTTGCTACGGGCAGCGATGATGGTCGTGCGCGAAACAATCAAATGGACCGAGATGCAGCGAATTAGGGCAACCAATCCACAACGATTATTCCACAGCTGTTAAAGGCAATGAAGAAATGGGGCCACGTAAAACGACAAGGGACCCTGAATAAAGATCACACTATACAGAAACGACTGGTCGCCGGCAAGCACATGATCGAGAGAGAGCACTATAGTTATCGGCAGACGACGCACACACAAATGCAGCACGCAACCGGCGCACCTTTTAGGTCAGCATTTGATTGATTGATATGTGGGGTTTAACGTCCCAAAACCACTATATGATTATGAGAGACGCCGTAGTGGAGGGCTCCGGAAATTTCGACCACCTGGGGTTCCTTAACGTGCACCCAAATCTGAGCACACGGGCCTACAACATTTCCACCTCCATCGGAAATGCAGCAGCCGCAGCCGGGATTCGAACCCGCGACCTGCGGGTCAGCAGCCGAGTACCTTAGCCACTAGACCACCGCGGCAGGGCTTAGGTCAGCATTTGTGTACGCCCGCATTTGTGTGTAATCACCGGCACCGAATCTCGAGCGAACTATGCCACCTACGCTTATATGAGATAATTGTTGGTGTTTACCACGTGAAAACCACTATATGATTGAGAGGCGCCTTAGCGGGGGGCTTCGAAAATTTCGACCATGTGAGGTTAGAAGGAGCCAGGTTAAGAGGTCAGTCGGTTGCAGGTAGTATAAACTGTCTACCGTGTTATCCCGTATTGTTCGCTCTTCGTAGATCTCGTTTTCTTGTAGTGCGCAAAAAAGTTTAAACCTACGATTCCTCAACGTGCACCTACGTCTGAGTACACGGGCATCCAGCATTTTGACCTCCGTCGAAAATGCGGCAACCGCGGCCGGCATTTGACCCGCGACCTGCGTGGCAGCATTCGAGCGCCTTAACCACTGTACCACTTTGACGGGTGAATGTGTAACTCTTACACAGTCTTCGCTGAATGAAGCGTTAAATCCGCACTCTTCCTAGAAGAGCTACCGAGGTCGCAATGAAGAGAGAGAAGAAAAATATAAAGGAAACCTGCTTGTTACGCAAAGCGGCTGTTAGGCGAAAATCGGGTTCGGGAGAAAGGAGATGGCTCGTCGCGTGTGCATAACTCGGCGCCAAAGGAAGAGCAGCATCGCCTGCCCGGCGAAAGCGGAGAAATCCCTCGATACCAGATCGAACGGCGAAGGTCACGAATGGAGACCCATTAATCCTCATTTGGAACGAACTCGAAGACGCGCGCGCGCTTTTTTGCTCCCTCCGAAATACCAGCCGTGCCGATGAGGACCAAGAAAGAGGAGTGTATACACGAAGGTAACGAAGAACTACGCTTGCAATGCGACGGCGGCGAGGGACCATAGAGAACATGCGGGCCGTTTCATACATCACTCTGTCCGGATCGGGGCGCACCTGCCACGCCGTTTCCGGCTCTGCTGGACGACCCTCGCGCATGTAGCTCTCTTCTTGCCCGGTTTTCCACGCAGCCACGTAAGTGGGGCGGCGGCAACGATCGAGAAAAGCCGCGCATGAACGAGCGTTTCTCGCGTCCGCCGGGATGCGAGGGTGGGCAGCTCGTATGCGACGACGACTAAGTCTGACCGCACTTTTCTCTTAAAAGTCAAAAGGTTGAGAAGCGAGGTGGACTGATAATGATCGACACGCTTCTCGATGTGCCGCGCCTCTTTCGGTTGCGGCAACATCCCCCCTCTCCGGAGCGTCGTTTCGCTAAAAGCCTCGTTTCGCTGAACGACGATGGTTAAAACACTTTCCCACATCGTTCAGGCTCCAAGTGCAGGTCTCTCTTCCCGCTTACTCCTCGCAAGTGGAATTAGGAAACAGCTTAGAATGGACACTCGGTCTTCCCTTTCGTTTTTGCACGGTCTACGATCGAGCCATGGAGGAAAGGAGACAGAGAGGAAGAGAAGCGCGAAGAGACACAAGGGAGTTAGGCAATGCGAGATACACATACAAACACATATGTATGCCAGTGGAAGGGGGGGTGCTCAGTCGGTGCTGCTGTTGCAACAGGCCGAGATAGGTGTCGTTCGGTCACTTGGCAGATTAATTGACATTGGATGCTACGCGAGAGCAGTCATTACGAGGCTGGGATTCATGCGGGTGCTGGGAGGCAAATTGCCAGCGACCGGTAATTTCCCCCCCAAATGTGCACACCGAGCGAAGAGAGGCGGTGGGCGTTGGAGGTTGGCGAGAGTGGGGGCGAAGAGGAAGAAAGGGGGGTGCATAAAACGGGCATGAGCACAGTCTAACCTAAAGGGACGGGGGAGAGTAAGAAGGAAGGAAAAGCTGAGGTTCTGTTGTGTGCGAATCCGGCATGCCGCCGTGCCCCACGTCACGCGGCAGAATTGATTGAAGCGCCCTCTCGCGTGCCTGTCTATCCGTTTGTGTCTATCTGGTATACGCGCTCTCGCCGTCCCAGCAGTCTCCCTCGCCCTTATCCGCGCGCTCGTCCCTTCTCCAGAGCTACTTCTGCTGCCCGCCAATTCCCGGTGCGCTCCCGCAAGCTTTCTTCATGCCGTTGTTGTTACTTTATCCTCACTTGAACGAGGTCCTAGCGAGCGGAGGCCGGACCAGGGTATCGAGTAATAATTACGAAATTGCAGCTTTTAAGGGGAACTTTAGCCCTCGCTGTTTGGCTAGGGTGCAAATTTGGGGCCTCACGCACTAACTCTATGGCCTCGCGCCACCGGCTTCTTCTATGCGGACACGGGCCACTTTCTTTGGCCGGCCGTCGGGTTGCGCCGCCGTTCACCGGTACTTCGACTCAACTCACTTGTGCCTCTGCGCGTGCGCCGCGGGGCGCACTCCTAACCGACTTCATTGCTGTACCTCTGTGCGCGCGGGTCGGATGCTCTGTTAGAGGGGTGCGGCACCGTATTCCGAAGTCGGACTTTCAAACCAGAGTGTTTACGTCGGCGCACCACGGTTATACTTGCTGGGTACGTAAGCCGTACACGTCGTTTATGAGATCGCCGCTTAAGTGTGCTCATTGTTTTTAGAAGTGAGAGGGGGGGGGATGCTTACTTGCTCATTAGAAGTGTGCTTTGCAGTACCTCAATCGAAAAAAAAATGTGGCGCGCCTTTTCGCTTTAACTGTTCACTGTAAGTGGATGGCTGCCACAATGACAGGAATGCCACAAATTTTCATAAGCTGATGTGGGACACTGTCCCCTAGGCAAATTCTTATTCTAAGAAATTTCTTTTGCGTCCAATCGGGACAGTATAACGGCAACTGCGACATTGGCAATGCGTATGTAGCCTCTGCGTCGCATATGCCTTCTCTATACACGCACAGCGATGTCAAAATTTTAAATATTCCCCTAAATCATTCTTCGAAACAAAGAATAATGGTGTCAGAGCAACAAGCTGCGCGTTAAGTAATACATCGAGGTTCAAACTACTCACACACAACCTCTTGGCACATTTCGGATTTACACACAACGTTTTACCGAACACATTACTGTTGCACCCTTTACGTTCTGCACGGAAGCAGACACGAGGCTGACCTTTTCCCCTCCCCTCTCTCCTATCACTGTGCGCAGGTTCTCCAACGCAGTCTTCCAGCCCCCTCGACTACCGGTGCCACGCGAGCCCGACGCGACCGAGCCCGTCTCCGCGCGAAGCTATGGGACTGTCTGACCGGGGCGATCCGCCGTGCGCCAACGAAGGGCCCGAGCTGCCGCCGGCCGCCGTGCAACCTTCTCCGCGGGCCGACCTGCTCTTCCGCCGCACCGCCTCGTCGCCGTCGGGACACGTGTCTCGGCTCGGCGGATCCGACGAAGTCAGCCCGGGTGATCGCTCTGCGGCGCCCAAGCATCCCGCGCACAGTCCGCACTCGAGCCAGCACCACCAGTCTCAGCAACACCATCCGCGGCCTCAGGCACAGCCGCAACAGCAGCAGCACCACGCTTCGTCCGGAAGGCCTCCGATGGTGATGCGAGCCGACAGCCCCCAAGAGATGAGCGACGATTTTCCGAAGCGAAAGCAACGACGCTACCGAACCACCTTCACCAGCTACCAGCTGGAGGAACTGGAGAAGGCCTTCGCCAGGACTCACTACCCGGACGTCTTCACGAGGTAGGCGCGGGCTCCTTTTCTTTACACTGCTCGAATATTGTTGCGCGTACGTAGCGGACCATGCGCGCAGGGCACCCCCGACGACGTGTACGACGATCTGGCGCCGCTTGTGTCGTCATTTGCGCAACCGTTTCATTGGAACGCAGCGTTAGTTGTCCAGAGAAATTAATTAGTTCGCAATAAGCCACTGAGAGACACTACCGATAATGCTGTCACTGAGAATTAAGCTGTGCATTGGGCGTGATTAGAAGTTCGTCCGCATGTTTTCCATGTATATATATATATATACACATATATATATATATATATATATATATATATATATATATATATATATATATATATATATATATATATATATATATATATATATATATATATATATATATATATTTATAAGGAATGCACACCAATGGGTCCGGTTCGATAGATGATTGAAGAGAAGGACGCACTTTTGAAATGCAGTTTTCTATTAACGTTTAGGTGAAACACTCTTTTCATGCGCGATGATTTGCATTTGCTGTTGAGCATATACCAGAGCAAACAAATAATATTTCTCAACAACTGACCTCCAGTGTCTCAGACTCTGATATAAATCTCTCACACCTTTCTGAATCGCTTTTTAGTTAAAAGTATGGGGAAGTACCCGTGGCCAGCGCGGCATCTTACTGGCTTCGGCTCTGGCTTTCTCTGTCATGGACTGTATTCGTAGTAGTGACTCAAACGTCGCGACACCGTTGAGCCGTCGCGTGCAACTTGCTCATGCGTTCAAGTGAAGGGTGGAATACAAATCACGCGCTTCCCGCTTTGAGCGCAAGGCACGCATTCGTGATTCCTTTGTTACGGATTGCTTATAGGCGCCATATTGGCCTGCATTCAACGCGCCAAACCGATATGCGGCGATCCATACAAAACTAAGACTATATGTTCCAAACATCCTGCGCGTCCGCGCTGCTACTGCGAACGTGAATGAAGTGGGAAAACAATCCTTACTTAACAGTGGCTTAGGTTTGAGAATGTGAACGAGTTCGTCGGTCACAAAGCTTGTTCATAGAGAATCGATGTTTGGAGTCAAGGAGTCATTAATCGCAAATGCTCGCCGTTGTTTCTACGCTCACTCATTTCTATCTTCTCTTCAATTTTACTCCGAATGAAGGAGCCGACTTGTCTTTAAAAAAAGTATTAAATTACCTCTATGTGCATATTTTGACCTATACCAACTTGTTATTTTTTATTTCGTAGTTGGTGATTTCGAGCACTTCTTCCATGCTGATAGATTGATATGTGGGGTTTGATATGCTGATTGATTGATATGTGGGACTGGATGGTGCACAAAATAAACTGGCGACAGTCCGCTTCTGGCTGTCTTTCGTTAAACCATAAATAACCGGTACGCATATGTAACAACGTTCGGTACATAGCCACGTGTATTCTCCTATAAATGCTTCGCTGCGCCAAAGCTGACTGTAGCTTTTGTGAGCCGGCTTTCAGTTCGTGACTCGACAGTTGGAGAAACGTAGTGTACTAAGGCGTACTAAGGCGTACTGCAATTGTTATATCGAAATAATAAAGCGTAGCATTGGACCCTCGAGTGAAGTTCTCCGTAGACTTTATCGGCTTTTTCATTGCCTAGAACATGACGCCTGAAGAAAATGCCGGGGCAGTTATGTTTCATCTGTACTAACATGTCCTTGCTTCTTCCACGCATTTCTTTGCCGAGAACTTAAAGAAAGAATAAACGATGATTCACCTTCCCCGTCATTAACATCTCTAAGAAGGTGCTAGTCATCGTGGATCGAGAATGTCGCGAGTAACGGAAAAGCCATTTATTACTCGGGGCAGCACATTTATAAACAGCTTGCAGTTTCTACACTGTTAATTCGGCAGTACGCCCGTTTATACAATCAGAATTGGTCTACTTAAGGTGTGCACCCCAAATGAAACCATTATCTCTGATACGAGCTGCTTAAAAGCAATAACGTACTGCGCGAGAGGTACTGAGTAAATTACAACAGCTATACGTAGAAAGTATACATTTAAGTGTTCTTTTGACCCACTGTATGGGATATGAATTGCTTTGGAGATACGAGCTTTGGTGTCGCGAACTTGTGTATCACAAGTTCCATCGTAGCGAACGCATGCTCCGGGTATTCTAAACAACAAAGCTTGCACACACAGACACAAGAACATCAGGACACAACAAATGACTAGGTATTCGTGTTGTCCTCACTCCCTGTCCTTTTAGAATGGATATGTACCGACTGGCTGTTATTTTAGGCTTCGGATAAGGTACGCCTCCTTGATACATGAACACATATAGAGCTAAAACAGGCAAGAAAAAACAGTATCGAGAAAAAATTTTATTTAGTTAAGCACGCCGTTCAGGAAGGAAATTATCCACGCCTTCTGTGCCTGTTAATCGTGCTCAGCAGGCGGGCACGGTATTCCGAGTCTCTTCATCCGCGTATAATTAGTGACCCATAATAAGCAACTACAGTGTAAAATACAGCGCGTAACCTGCTTAAGCAGTGCAACAATGTTATGATCTCCTAGTTACTATACATCATAGCTAAACCTTAACGAGTCCTGTCCCCCTTCGTCTGCCAAATGACGCCGCGGGCGATGCTCCATGTGGAGTCGATTGTTAGTTTGTTGGAAGTGGAAGATCCATCAGTTCCGCCTTGGTGCTCGAGTTTGCCGTGTGTACAAACATAGCCGCGTCTGAAATAATGTGGCAGTTTTCGCTTTAGGCGCACGCTTCACGCATCACGCGAATGGCGCTTGCGTGCGTGCACTGCTATATACGGCTATAGGCCGGTACATAATAGTAAAAGCCGCCGTCTCGACTGTACCATCTCTCACATACTGCACATCGTAGCATCACAGGCGCCTGACTTAAACACCGCCGGTTCCAGACACCACGCACGTCTACCTTGTGTCTATACACGTGCGGAGCGTACAGGCACTGTCTGCCGTTAACAGGATGCGTTTGGAGCAAAATTATACTGGCCGTCTTTCATTACAGACCCTAGACCCACGAAGCGGATCGTGTACATATGCTTCGCTTGCCAACATGCTTATGCAACATGCGAAAACGAGAACATGAGTGTTTTTAACAAACAGAATGAAAACATTTACTGAGCGTAACGTGAAAGAAGTGGCGAGACTTGAGAAGTCACGTACTGGGGTCGGCTGTGTTGGTGCATCGCCTCCTCGCTTCATGACAGCTAGGTTTTGGATGAATAATTGTGCGAAGAGAGGTAGTTGAACATTGTAAACGTGTCTTGCGCTTATATAGGCGGCAAAAGGACGTCAGTTTACTTGGCTATGCATACTGCGACGCCCTATTGTATCGAGCTTGGTCGGTGAAACACGTGCAACAAGCCGAGTGAGAGGCAGATGCGAGTTACGGTAGCGTATACTCCGAAGCGCCCTTCTCGCCCCTTGGTCGACATTTTGCAGCGGAGCGCGAAGACTTTAGCGCTATTATCCCGACACACTGTGTATAACGAAACGACGCCAAGCGCATTCAGGGGTATGTATACGCTCTTTTCGCGTGTACACTTCACGGCTCTGCGGCCTATTACGTACGACACGAGCGCCGCCCCCGTCGTCTTATTGTTTATCGCGCGCGGCACGCCTATTAGAGCGGGATAAACGTAATTGGGCGAAATTGCTTCCAAACGGAGCATATTGTGCACGTGCATGAAAAACGAGCCGGCCGCGTAGTTTAAACTCGGGTCAGGGAACAAATTTCTTCTCGAAGAGTGCCTCTTCGGTTACGCCAGCACTCGCTCCATATAGCTCCGGGCCGGGATGTGTATTTTCAGTATTACGCTCGCGGGAGGCAGCAGCGTCAGACGATGCGTTCAAAGCGAGATGCTTTGTCCCCCCGGTTAGCTCCTCAGCCCTCGTTTTCTTCGCTCAATTCTTTTAGGAGAGAAGTGGCACGAAAAGAGGCGCCCTCGATTTAAAAAAAAAAGTCTCAAGTTAGCGCGCGAGCGTGCTTAATTACAGTTATTATTCACAGTGCGGAATTAAGACCCATCGTGCTCCGACGACCAGAGCGGCGGCGGCAACGAGTAGCGGTCACGCTAAAACGGATCTCCGAGCGCGTCCGCGCCCATTAAACACTCTCCAGAACAAAGTGCACACGTGCCGAAAGGCCGCGGGGCGAGGAGGGGGTGAACACGGGCAGCCCGAGGGATTGTCTCCGCGTGTATTTACGACCGCGGACGAAGCACCGTTGCGGAGCTCGCGTCGAGCCTCGCTGCGCGCACCACTTCGCAAATCGTTACCGTCCAGGCCATAGCGGCACAATGCCGGTGGCCGACGGCGATTTCTTCCTTCGTCAGCGCCGCGGGCGGGACGGTATCACGCACGACGACCCGAGGTCGACGACGACGAGCCTTGAAAAATCGCGCCATAGCTCATGCACGCTTCAATTGCTCCGGCGCGCCAAGCGCGAGCGTGATTGATACGGTGTGCTTTAGAGCTATACTCTGCAGCTTGGCACCATGGCGCCGAGGAAGCAGCGTTGTACATATACTCGGCGCCCATTAGCCTCTTCATTGTTTCGGAGACGACGCGAGTGGCGCTTGTTACGTACCGTGCCAGCCCGCGGCTGTATACCGTATCTTTTCATAATAGTGTGCGATAAACGTACACCCGGCCTCTTGATCCAGGATGGATATGGGCTTTATTCTCTTTGCTGTGCACGTGGGGTTGGTTTATTAGGTGCCGCGGTCTCTCTTTGAGTCTATACGTCGAGCGCGGCAACGTTGAACCGGAGGTCGTGGTCATCGGATTTCTGGAGACGTGTGATGGGCCCGCCGGCTGAGCCTTAATTAAAGTGCGCGCGTTTCTGCTAAGTACGGCGGCGCATGTCCCTTTTACGCCAGTACTCAAGGTTCACTCGCGATGCAGTTCAAGAGTGCCACCTTCGTAAGCGTGCGCAAGGTTCCTAAATAGGGGGGAGGAGGCGAAGAGGGTGAAGTTTA